TTCCCGGAGTATATGTACACACTTTCTGTTTGCTTTCAAGGTATTATCGGCATTAACATTTAATCTTTTGTCATCAATTTATTGAAATGTTGTGCTTGCAAATCATTTCGTACTTCTCGTCGACGCCATGCTTATTATATAAAGGGATTCAACTCCACTACTAACCGTGTATCGAAATTAAGCCGCGCCTACTAACCTAATATGGAATATACACGATATCCACGAAGACGCTATTAATCAATGATATTCCTACAAATGCATAGGAGGTAAGATAAAAAAGTAGATCCTGGAGTGATAAGTATATCAAACAGTATAAAGAATTTTGGATCAATAGAAATAAAAACGCAGTCGAGTAGTACTCGTTTAGTTAGAGCGAAAGACAAACAAGCACAGTTACAAGTCACACCAACGAAGACCATTAACGATTATAGGTTGCACTTTGTTGATACAGCTGTTTTTCAAACCGCGCCTCTTTTGGGGAGATATATAATATTCATAGACAATTAATTTTGTTTACGTACTGGTTCCCGGATATGATCTCTATGTTTCATCTCATAGAGACATAACTTGGAAATGTTACCAGTAAATATACATATTCATAGTGATCAAGTTGAAGTCTGTAGAAATCCTTAAGTCAAGGTTGGGGTATTTTAGAAATTTAATGTAAGTTTAAACTCTTAGAAGTTCGGGGCATATAAACGTTGAAAATATGCCGCACAGCCCTATATTTTGACCTTTGAAAAAAATAGTAGTGCATATAAACTTTCCATTCTAGGATATATTTTTTTTCAAAACTTCATAGTAAAAGTTTTAGCTGTGAAAGGAATTCCTATGGGAAATTGCATTGTTGATATTTACAGAAATGCAACCTATATTGGGTAAAAAAAGGGAACATACAGAATTTCACCAAATCTGCTTTATCTCAGAGATTTTAATGAAATTAACTCAAATATGAAGTTTTATAAATATTTCATGAAGATTGAGAACATCCTGGGCCTTAACTATGATGACTCAGCATAAATTTACAGAAACAATATGCATAGTTTAGTTAAAGCCCTGAATGCAAAATAAATTCATTATATGTGCATATTAGTAATTTAAATTGTTAAGAAGTGCTAATATTTACTCTTCGCAGTCATTGAAACTCATAGATCCTTCCTGAATATTATTGGTTGGGTGTTTTTATCCTGTCGATAACCCAAAAGTAAGCCGTATCACCTAAATGTGCTTTTTTGTGATCACGGCATAAAAAAATACAAGCTATAAATACAAAAATACCTCAATAAAACTTACAATAATGTGTTTTTTCCTAAATATGCACTAAATATTCCATATTGCTAGAAACAGCAGAATAATTGAGAAAATTGGAGGCCCCAGGGGCAAAAAACAGAGAAAAATTCCTACCCCCTGGGTCATAAAAAACAAATAATTTAACTTGTAAATGCTATGACTTTATTATTTTAAAGGTCTTTTGTATATAAACCAAAAACTGTACTTGGAAGTTATGCAAAATCAGATGTTAGCAGTCATTTCTATAAAACTTTTAGTGAATTCATACATCAGACTGGTATCTTCATACATACAACTTTTGCAAATATGGCTTTGTTTAAACACTTCTAGTTCATATATTAGCTAAATTATGTTAGATATATGGTAAGAGATGATACTGTTGTGACAAGATTTCTAAACTGACCATTTGAGGCAGTAATTGTGAACTTCCATTGACAAATAGGCATACAGTAAGATGTGGACTGGAGACAGAGGCAGGATTGGACACTTTATATAATCTTGAATGTTGGAATGATTAGCTGCTAAACATTTCATTTATAGTGTTCTGAAATGCTTTCAATTTGTTATCAAAATAGTTTCAAACAGGTTCTAGACATTTCATGTTAGAAAACATGCTCATAGGGTAAGCTGGCAATAATTAAAGTCTTATTTTCAATTTCTGTATAAAAAAAAATGATACAGGGGTGGAGGTATAAAATGTACTGTAAAAGAAAATTTAAAGTATATTCAGTAATTCCTTCAGGCTATAATTTTAAGATATAAGTATTGTTGTGAGAAAAAGTGTTTTTAGAAAGTTTTCTATTAGAATAAATGCTAGTATAGCTTGCACTTTGTAAATACAGCTGTTTTTCAAACCGCGCTATGTTTCATCTCATAGAGACATAACATGGAAATGTTACCAGTAAATATATATATTCATAGTGATCAAGTTGAAGTTTGTGAAAATCCTTAAGTCCAGGTTGGGGTATTATAGAAATTTAATGTAAGTTTAAACTCTTAGAAGTTCGGGGCATATAAACGTTGAAAATATGCCGCACAGCCCTATATTTTGACCTTTGAAAAAAATAGTATTGCATATAAACTTTCCTTTCTAGGATATATTTTTTTTTCAAAACTTCATAATAAAAGTGGTACAGTTTTAGCTGTGAAAGGAGTTCCTATGGGAAATTGCATTGTTGATATTTACAGAAATGCAACCTTGAATTTGATTCTACAGAAGAAAATAACAACAAAAGGTGAAAATATTACACTACGTCTCAAGAGATCAGTTGTAACTTACATATCTGTATTCGCCAACAAAATACGCTACACTGACTGCAATGGTCAAAGTGTAGTTTGTTGCGACCATAATGGATCATGTGTTTGGAGTTTTAAAGATACTTCAGTGTTGCTACTTCCGAGAGGCATCACTGTGGATAATAATGGAAACGTGTTTGTTGTCGGAGAGTATTCATCGAATGTAGTCATTATATCAAACGATGGAAAACACCACAGGCAAATTCTAACAGACGAAGATGGTCTACCTGGACCGTCAGCTATCTTTTTTGACAAACAGACCAGAAAAAACTTCTTGTTGCGAACACAAATGAAACTGTTTTCCTTAAAAGTGTTACTTAAAATGATTGAGATTAATATTTTTCATATGTCTTTAAGTGAGAAAATACCCGAGATGCATCACTATGGATAATGCCTGGAACGTGTTTGTTGTTTGTAGGGACGTCGACAAATGGAATCATTATATCAAACGTCGGAAAACATCACAGACAAATTCTGACAGACGAAGATGGTGTACCTGGACCGTCAGCTATTTTCTTTGCAAAAATACCAGAAAACTTCTTGTAGCGAATAAAGCAGAAACTGTTTTTTTTTTCGCAATGAGAGTTAAATTGACGGAAATCAAAATGACTATGACAATTGACATTGTTTGTTTTTCGTTGAACGTTCAATCCAGTTGAACTTCGTGCTACAAATATCAGATAAAAAATTAATACATTTCTTCATTATTTGGGAAATTCATAGATAAATGAAAGCAAGCGATTTGGCAAATAATTGAAAAGCAGCCAAATTAAAATGAGTTATGAATGTTACTCATTTCCAAAGTAGAAACATTAAATAAAAATCACAATAATTGTTTATATCTCCAATATCTTCTTATGAATATTTGAAATGTATTCCGAAAATACTTGAAATATCGGTCTTGACTAACAATACAGGTTACTTCAACAATGTTGTGCGATTTGTTTAAAATTATCAATAGCTAACTAAGCTTTATCTTTTACATCATCTTTAAAACTATCGTTTCAAGGTAAGTATTTATATAAGATCAACTGAAATAGAATCTGGCCAAATCGTTGTTCCAGTAAGCATAGAATAGATCCTTCAATAGTTGACCAGGTACAAATAAATTATCCTTTTGCACTCTCCACGTTCCGGTAAAAATATGTTGTACGTTTGCCCAGATGCAACTCCATTGAAATAGACTGTAGTCTTTTCCATTTATTATTTTCGTAAACAGATTTTGTACTTTTATCTAGTCCGTATTCCGTTAGAGATAGATTATTCTTATTTCTAATCGTTGTTCCAGTAACAATATTTTGTAGCTTATTTCTATTTCCTGTATACATTTAAACCTTGACTAGTCCTTGTTCTGGTAAACCTTTACTCTTGTCCAGTCGTTCCTCCGGTAAATCTACACTCTTGTCCAGTCGTTATTCCGATAAAAATATATAACACTAAGTCTTCCAGTGATTATAGATTTTTCTTTCCATTCGTTGTTCCAGTAAAAAAAAAGATAACGTTTCTGTCCAGTCGTTGTTCCGGTAAAAAGATTTCACTCTTGTTCATTCATTGTTCTGATTAAATATATTGGTCTCCTGTCCAGACGTTGTTCCTGTAGAAATAAATTGTACTCATGTCCAGCCGTTGTTCTTGTAGAAATAAATTGTACTCATGTCCAGTCGTTGTTCCAGTAAAAATGTATTGTTCATTGCCCAGTTGTTATTCAGTCGTCATATTTGTTCCTGTAAAAAAAATTGTGTTCATTTCCAATTCTTGTTCCGCACAAAATAGATAGCACTTTTATCAGGTCGTGTTAACGGTAATCCTAGATTGTTCTTTTAGACAATTGTTGTCTCTGTAAAACATATTTTGTATTCTTCACAAATAAGTTTGTATTTTCAAGTGTTACAGTTTATGAAAAACCTCTGCTCTTTATTCTTGTCATTAGTTAAATTCGACTTTATACTACATGTGCTTCTCGGACAAATCAATGTATGGAACTATCGAAGGAGAGAATAATATTTGTCTGCAAAAAAATGTTCATAAAATGAAATCTCATTCAGAAAAGTTACCATTTTATCTAATGTTGAGTTACAAAATATAATATTTTTTACAAATAAATTAATCATGCCTTTCCTCTAAAAACTTTTAGGATTTTTTTTTTTAATTAGCAGCTTTCGAATGTTGTTCTTTTTATTTCTGAATTCAAATGTTGAGCTTGTATTTCATAGATGACGTACATATGCAATTTTGGATGATTGTGCTATTTTCAAAATTCAATCATAAATTCAATGCACTGCGTCTTTGTTTTCCTTGATATTTGCATATTTAAATGGCAAACGACCCTCTCTGGTAAAGGTAAATATAAATTATCGTAGTTAAATAATTATCGTCTTTAGTCGAGTATGGACATTTGAATAAAAGTCTATTGATTTTGGTGTTGATACCTATGACACAATATATAATTCAGTACTGGAAAACATGTCATAAGTTGATGATTATCGGGGCAGTGCAGAAAAGAATCGTTAAGACTGCCTGAGGTATAATGATTTATATGGTAACCTGGCATATCATGTGCTTTGTTTATATAAGTACTTAGAGTATATATCATGTGACTTTTTCATCCTTCTTCATGGGTTAAAGGAGATTGTTTTAGCTGTTGTCAGGTAGGATAACCACATTTTAATATCTATATATTTATTTCAACATACATTTTATCAAAAGATAACTGTAATGGAGAATTTTCTAGAGCTATCACTAAAACTTATATTATAAAATACACAAAACGGGTGGAAAACCATCCAATATTACTTGACACGTCATCACAGCAATTAATCGGATATATAGGTATATAATAAACATCATTGCTTCCTTCTTATCAAATGAGTATTTATTAAATAAATCAGATTTGCATTTCGAGGAAGGATGTATATTGGCACCACCAGTTTAACCACTGTTAACATTTGATTTTTGATTTATGGTGTTTTAACGCCACTTTTAAACACCGGTTTTGGGCTATTTCGTGGCGGCCAGTTTGTATTGGTGGAGGAAGCCGGAGTGCCCGGAGAAAACCACCGACCTTTGATAGGAAAACTGACAATCCTAGTGAATTAGAGTTCAGTGCACCCGCACAATTGGGGCCACTGTTAAGACGAAATCTTTGAAAAAGAGAGAACAAATAATACAAAAAAAAGTAATTAAGAAGGTAATGAGGAATCGATTCATTTGCGAGGATCTACTTCCTCGTCTCAGAATGTTCGAACGATAAAACTATTGAGGGTTGATTAACAAGTAGAGGGCAAGAGGCAGCATGTATTGCTGACATGATATTTTAGGCTCCTGATTTTCGACCAATTTGTGATTGAAATCGATGAATATTAGCTTTAATATAGTTACTTCATTTTTCATCCCCTGATTACAATCATTTAATCCATTTCACTTTGCTGAACAAAGATTTTGTCTATCCGATATACATTTTGCTATTTTATTGTTATGAAGAGTTTTAAGCGCGTACACCTATTAGAAATATTTAACAGACTTTTAAATTTTCAGATTAACAGTGGTATTAGTTATACACAGTTTTCAATCGAATATGATAATGAGACATGACTGAACAATGATATAGTACAAATATATGTCATTTAACGAACAAGCATAACATTTTAATTTGCAGGATCAGATAATCAAATAATTGGTTACAAGATCTAAAGATTGATATCACAATACTTCTGTTTAAAAATATTCAAAGGTATTATCCAGTTGTATACCTTCAGCTCTACCATTAATTATCAAGATAAACGATGTCTGATTTTTATATCTCTTACTGAGTATCATAATAGCTTTTTCAGTTTACACAGAAGCTTAAAGTTAAATACTTTGTGGTATTATGTTGATTTAACAAAGTAATAACAAAGAAATTGACAGTGCAGACATTTATTACATTAAGATTTTACAACACCTGTCGATAGTGCACTTGTCCAGTCAGTAAAATTATATATCTGACTTTTGTACTCTAGTCCAGTCATTGTTTGATATAAAAAAAAATGCACTCCTGCTAATTCAATGTTCAGGGAAACTAGATTGCATTCTTGTCCCATGGTTTTGCTTGTTAACATATATTTAACTCTTGTCCAGCCGTTGATTATGTAAACAATGCTATGCACTTTTGTCCAATTGTTCAAGTTGTTGTTCAAATTAACTATAGATTGTACTCTTATCCTGATGTTGTTCGAGAAAAAATAGAATGCACTCTTGTACTCTCGTTCATTAGTTGTTGCAGTAAACCTAGTTTTTGTCTTGACTGGACTTTATTCCGTAAGAAATAGATTGTCCTCTCGTTCAGTTCTTGTTGCTGATTATTCTCCTGTCCTGTCATTTTTCCGTAAAAATATGTTGTTCTTATGTCTAGTAGTTGTTTTGGTAAAGATAGATTGTTCATTTGCCCAGTTGTATTTTCGATAACCTCATATTACTCCCTTGTCCAATCGTTATTCCGTTAGAATTATAGTGTCCAGTCGTTGTTTGGGTAAATATAAATTGTACTCTTTCCACACGTTGTTCCGGTATACATATTTTGTACTATATATAGTCGTTGTTTAGGTATACAAAATGTGTACTCTTGTCTGGACTATGTTCCGGTAAAATAGATCTACTCTTGTTCAGATAGATTGTCCTCTTGTTTCTGTAAAATAGATTATTATCCAATACAGTCATTTTTTTTCTGAAAAATACGTTACACTAATGTCTTGTAGTTGTTATGGTAAAGATATATTGTTCATTTGTCCAGGTGTTATTTCGATAAACTCAGGCTACTCTCTTGCCCACTCCCTGTTCCGAAAAAAAAATTATACTCTTGCTTGTCCAATTGTTATTCCGTTAGAAGTCTAGTGTACTCTTGTCCTGTCGTTGTTTATGTAAAATTAGATTGTTCTCTTGATCAGTTGTAATTTTGATAAAAAAAAAATATAGTGCACTCTTGTCCATTTGATGTTCTGGTAAACATCGATTGTCCTCTTGTCAAAACTATGTTTCGGTAAACAAAGATTGTACTCTTTTTCAGTAGTTATTTCAGTAAACTGAATTGTCCTCCTGTTTAGTCGGTGTTCCAGTGACCCCACTGATTTATCTTAGGCTATGTTTGTATTTATAAGCATGTAGGGACCATGGTATGGTAATATATTGTTATTAAAATAACACAAATATAAGCAATGGATGATTTAATCATTGTTTTAAAGCAATTGATTTTATTTGAGCAGATATATATTATTTCATTAAATTTTTGTTTATAGTACAACTGATTAAATTTAAATTCTCGATCATGACGATATAAACGTAATACGGACAAGGTCAAAAATGTGTTGTATTGAACTAAGCAAGTATTGCACCATTATTTACGATAGATTGTATTTCAATGCTGACAGTACAATTTTATTGGACTATCGTTTTAAGCATTTACTTGTACGTCTGCATGAAATAAGTATTTCTTTTCTCTAAAATAAAAAGGTAAAAAGTGCAGAATTAACTGCAATCAATATAAAGAATAGTTTCAATATATCTGGTTATAAAGGCAAAGTCAAAATGATATATGATCTGTTATACTGAACTAAGCAAATGTTGTACCATTTGTTTACGATTAATTGTTTTTCAATTGTGACTGTGCAATTGTATTGACCTTCCGCATGTTACTTTAAATTGTAAGCACTTACTTCATAGCCATCATAAAATCAGTATGTTTTCCTCTAAAATAAAACGGTAAATAGTTCAGAATAAAAACCAACAATATAAAGAATAGAGACAAATAGGTAAAAAAGAAAGAATAGAGAATAATTGGGTGCTGAAATATATAGGAAAAAAAAATCAAAATAAATAAAGAATATGAGAAAAATGATCTAAAAAGTTGGGAAAAAATCAAATGAAGTACCCCCATCCCGACCCTCATAGACAGACTGACGGAAAGTATGGTACACCTTTAATTATCGGATTAAAGTTGCTGCCAGCTCGTGTATAGTGCCTACAGATCATATTTGATTGGTATTTAAGGGGTCGACCATTTGATATTCGGTTGGGTTGTGTAAGGATTTTGGCAATGAATATTCTAGCCTGATAAAAACTGGAAAAAGACAGATTGAAAATCAAATGATCATGACATACGTTCGAATAGTAATGTCAGTTGGTAATTGTATATAAAATTTCAATTCGAGTTAGAGTCTCACCGATTTTTCAATTTAAGTCTAGTTTCTAAAATGTTTTGAATCACCGAAGGTTTTGTTAACTATGAAAAATATTGGTTTTTTTTCCAATTTCTGCTTCATTCTATTGATCCAAAGTATACTACATCATAATGCTCATTGGCACGATTATTTGATAATGCTTATTTTTACTGAATTTATGCTTCAATTCTATTGATCCCAAGTACACTGCATCATAATGCTCATTGGCACGATTATTTTATAATGCTTATTTTTAATAATGAATGCTTTCAACTGAGAAAAATGCACCAAAGAAACCAAGCTTGTAATTGTGTAGGCCAGACACGATTTTCGTCTAAAAAAAAGACGTTCTAGTTACGTTCGAAAAAAACCCCTTAGAAGCCCAAATAAAAACAAAGTTGAAGAACATTGAGCTCTAAAATTTCCAACAGTTTTTGCCAGATATAGCAGGTTTGAACACAGAAACTGTATTTTAATTAGATTAAGGAAACTATGTCCAGGGTAAAATATCTTAAGCATTTTGTAGTTCTAATTCAAAGTTTTGTTGCCATGTCAGTGATAAATCATGTTTATATGATAATATTATGATCTATCCTCTAAGCAAATGTGATTTTCTTACTATATTTTCCAATGCTAAGGGACATTATTCAACTAGTAGTGCAAGAAAATATTTGATTTCGGGAAAAAAACATTCCCTACTATTGTGATTGATTAAGTCCTCTACATTAACTGCGATTAAAAGCTTGTTCTACCTGTTGTCGTTTTCTCCGTTCTGAAATCCTTTAGGTATCTCATGTATGTGTTATTGTAATTTTGTGGTGATAGTTAGCTGTCTTGTGTTTGTTTACGGAATAGTGTACCCTCAGGTTTTGATTGACGTGTTGTAAGTGTTTACTCGGTTTGTTTCTTTTGGCTGCAGTATTCAACCAAACAGGTAGTAAGCATCCTGTAGTGGCGAGTACAGTTTACCCCGTTATACAAATCACTTGTTATATCGTAAAGCACAAAAATGTCGACATTTACCTCAAACGCTAACCATACCTTTAAACAGACTTATTCAGAAGGGATATAGTTACGATACTGTTGTCAGGTCATTAAAGATGGCATATTTTGGTATTAATATTGATCCACTCATAGATTCCATTTAAATCGGGAATAAACACATTTATTATAAAACCAGTTATTGGTATAATACGGGTTATGTTCTTCTCAAATATTTTATGATGGTATGATTCGAAACCACTAACGGGAGGGATTGTGCTTAATTTTCATGACACATGTATGATGAAGACATACTTTTTCAATCAGTTTGAATGAGGTCTGAGGCTGGCATGTCAGTAACTGCTAGTAGTTTTATTGTGTGTATACTATGTGTGGGTGTATTCTACATTTGCAAAAGGTATAGGGGGAGGGTTGAGATTTCACATAATATGTTAAACCCCATCGCATTTTTGTTCATTTATGTTTTGGAGTTTAGTATGACGTCCATTTTCAATGAATTAGTACACATTTTATTTAGGGGCTAGCTGAGGGTCACCTCCGGGTGCAGGATTTTCTCGCTGCATTGAAGACCTATTGGTTGCCTTCGGCTGTTATCTGTTCTTTGGGAGGGTTGTTGTCTCTTTGACATATTCCCCATTTCAATTCTCCATTTTATGTTATTTTTTCTACATAGCAGTCATCCCGTTTGAACCTGGATATTGAAGGTTTTCTATCTGTATGTCTGGACTATGTAATGCACGTTTTTGTTGATTATACGTAAAATACTTCGGAGTCGGTTTTTTGTGGTTAGTGTTGTCCAATATTTCAGAGGAGTTGTGTGTTGCAGTAGTTAGTGTTGTCTATGTTGGAAGAGTCTGGTGTCGTTGGTAAGTTTTGTCAAATATTTCTGAGAAGTCAGGTGTTGGTAGGTAGTGATGTCAACGGATGAGTCGGGTGTTGTTGGTAAGTGTTGCCAGAGGAGTCGGGTCTTTGTGGATAGTGTTGTGCCATATTTTCGGTAATCTATATTATTGTTGTTTGTACTATTAAATCATTGAATTATATATCGAATATTTGGAACAATGGTACGAATAAACTCGTAAAAGAATGACAAATATTCTTTCAAACTCTCGAACCAGTTTGAACAAAAAATTAAGTGAGCAGTTTACGGACGATAACGAAAGACAAACGATGAAGGACGCAAATTAAAGGTACGAGAAAAACGTCACGTTTTCCCTGCTGGCAATTTGAGACATGAACATGTCGTTAACAAACATGCATATCTTTATTTGACTCTCCTTCATCATGTTCATTGGTATGTGTCGTTGTCTGTGTTTTGTTTTTTTGTTTTTTAATATTACAATTTTTGATTGACCTTGGTATCGTCGTCCTTTCTTGTGAAGATGATCAAAGAAAAAAAAACATAAACAAATTAAATCTAGTACCAACCAATCAGTGCCCTTTTTCAAATATCAAAAATGATCTTAAGTTATATTGAAATGTATCTGACTTAAAAAGAGTATATTTCTAGTAAGTTTTTTGGGGAAACTTGATCGGATAAATGCATTCCTAACGAAGATATTTATCTGATACACATTTCAGGTATCACCATGGCTACAAGTACAAATCTTTGTAGTGCATGTTCAGAGCGACATATAACCAAACAATCAACAAACTGGTGCTCGGAGTGTGAAGAAGCCATTTGTGATGACTACCAAAAACATCATAAAGTACTCAGAACCACACGAAGTCACGAACTCATACCAATTGCCAAGTACAAATCTCTTCCGTCCTTCATTACTGATATACAGCAGTCATGTACTTACCACAACGAAAAGTATCAACAATACTGCGTTGCGCATGCGTTACCTATTTGTTTCAAATGCATTAAAGAACATCAGAAATGCAACGTCATTCCTCTTGATGAAGTCACCAATAACGCTAAAACATCCGGACACTTTCAAGATTTAGAAACTAGACTGATGGACTAATTACAGAACATTAATAGAATCCAGAAGGACTGAAAGGCTAATTTGGTCAGTATTGAAGAAAGGAAGGAGATACACCTTGCAGAAATTAAACAAATGAGAAATCAAATAAACAAACATTTAGACAAACTTGAAAAAGACATAATACAAGATTTTGAGAAGAAAGAGTGTCAATGTAAGAAGAATGTTCAGAAGGTTTTATCATCGATTAAAGAAAAGGAAAACTTACTAACAGAATATCAGACTAAGCATCAAAGAACATGCTTCCGATCTTCAAACATTTCTAGTAATGAGCAATATTGAAAAAAAAGTTTTTGAAAATGAACAATATTTACAATCCATGGTAGAAACTAACCAATTTGAACCAGTCGACCTCGTGTTTAAAGTAGAACCAGGGGTGCTTAGTATCTTCGACAGTTTAAAATCTTTTGGATCAATTTAAATTAAAAAGAAGTCGAGTAACATTCGTTTAATCAGAGCGAAAGACAAGCAAGCACAGTTGCAAGTAACACCATCGAAGACCATTACCGATTTGAAGTTGATTCTACAGAAGAAAATTACATCCCATTTTGAGAATGTTAAAGGTTGTTGCATGTCAGTAAATGGCGATTATTTTTTCACTGATCATTACTCAAGAAAAACGCTTTCTGTTATTGCACCAGATGGTACATTCAAATATAACATGTTGCTTAGTCCTAGTTATGTGTTTGACATAACATTAATCGACGAGAAAAATGTCGCTATCACATCAGGATTTTCTAATGAGCACACAGGAATTGACATAATAGGCACCGAGAGCCGAAAGAAGATTAAATTCATCAACCTTCCTCGTCGTCCATATGGAATTACATGTGATCACGACTCATTGTTTGTCTGTGTTAAAGGACGTGGTATATATAAAGTAAACACTGTTGATTAAACTATCTCTCACGTGATCAGTTGTAACTTACCTAGAGGTTCCTACGTATCTGTATTCGACAACCAGATATATTACACTGACTGTAGAGATCACAGTGTAGTTTGTTGTGACCGTAAGGGATCACGTGTTTGGAGTTTTAAAGATTCTTCAGTCTTGGAATACCCAAGCGGCATCACTGTAGATAATGATGGTAACGTGTTTGTTGTTGGAGAAGAATGTTCGATTGTGGTCATTATATCAAAGGATGGAAAACACAACAAACAAATTTTGACAAATGAAGATGATCTCTGTGAACCGTCTGCCATTTTCTTTGATAAACGGACCATGAAACTCCTTGTTGCGAATAAAACTGAAACTGCTTTTCTTTACAATGTTGCCTTGAATAATTGAAATTGATAAGTTTTAAATGACATTTTTCCAGCTTTTTTGCTGTAAGCCATGAAATCTTTCAATTAGTGACAATGTTTGAAATTCATTAATCGTTGAAGGCAATTATGTTTGCACATATTTCATTCTTTATCATAATACAAAATTTTTTATAGTTACTAAATTTCAAAGAAATTCAAGTAATGTTATATATCAATATTCATCGCATGAATCTAAGTCTGCATTTCAAACGAAATGGGAAAAAAAAGAAGAAACTGTTTACAATTTTTTGTAATAGATGATTTTAAGTTTTGTAATAGTAGATTTAAAATGCTTTGAATATATCAATCATTAAATAACGAGACAGTGTCTTTTTTTTTTATCTTATTTGTCTAAATTAACCATATCTAAGGTTTATTATATGATTAAACATCTATTGAAATAGAGTGTGCTCTTTTTATTCATGTTCCTGTCATGTTTGTTACCTTCTTGAAATTTAGAATGTCAATAATATATTGACGCATGTATCGGTTAATTCTCTAAAAAGAAAGCAAAAGCTTAAAATTAAACTCTCAAGCGGACTCATATAAGTTTCAAGAAGCTGTGAGCTGTAAGATCATGTTCAAAATGTCATTGCTTTTTAACAAGTGACGCTGCTAATTTATGCAAAGGTTAATTTTATCTCAAATTGGTTAACTTGTTTGCATAATATCGGTCCCTTTCAGCTCCGTCGTCATCCGTCGTCAGTCGTCGTCGACGTAAACTATTTCAAGAATCTTTTCCTCTAAAACTACTAGGTTAAATACCTTCAAACTTAAACTGAATGTTTCTTAGGGTATTTTTTTTATAAATGTATCCAAAGTTTTGATCCATTAACAAACATGGCCGCCATGGCTAAAAATAGAACAAAGGTGTCAAATGTAGTATTCTTTTGGCTTATATCTCAAAAACTAAAGCTTTTAGAGCAAATCTGACATGGGTAAAAATGTTCATCAGGTCAAGATCTATCAGCCTTATAATTTTCAGCCTAACCGAACAACTCATTCGAAAATGCCTCTAAATTGGACATTTTAAAGATATTTTGCAGTTTTTGTTGATTATCTTGAATATTATCGAAGATACAGATAAACAGCAAAACTGTTCAGCAAAGTAAGATCTACAAAAAAGTTTATATGATCAAAATTCTCAATTGACTTCTCAAGGAGTTACTGCCCTTTAAAGACTATTTTTCACACTTTATCCATCTAGTTTGCTTGCCTAACTTTAACAATCTTCTGCTTTGAAACTGCTGAATGTTTTTGAGCCAAACTAGGGCTGAATGAGTTTCAGAGTATCTAGTTTAAATTTTGTATTTTATTTCCTTGCACTATGGCTATAAAGGACATAGGGGTAAAATGCATTTTTTGTTTGCTTTTGAAGAAAATATGACAGATACAAAGATCATTTAGATTGCATTTTAAGCCACTCAATAATAAATATTTAAAAGCAAAAATATTTCATTGATGAAAGACTTTCAGCAAAAAGTTACAGGTGAGCTATTCGGGCTCTTGAGAGCCTCTTGTTTGTTTGATCCACTCATCAACGTTTGAATTAGATTTTGGATATTCATATACTTTGGCTTCGAGCACCACTGAATAGACATTAATTGTCAAAATGCGCATCTGGTACATTAGATTTGGGTCCGTTTGTGACATTTTAATGATTTTGCTTTTAATCGAAACAGCAAAATTCTATTGTATTTTTTTTTTCACAATATCATAACATAAGTTGTTTCTTTTAATAAAAAAGAAAATACGGAGATGTGGTATTATTGCAAATAAGACAAATGTCCATTAGAAAGGGTCAGATGATGTTTACGGAAAAGAGAATAATGGACAAAAAGGCAAAGAAAAAGAATTGAGAATAACGTATGCTACAATATATAGAATAGTGTCATATGGCTAAAAAGAATAAACCAATACCGAATTAAAAGTCCCCAACCCTCACCCTTTTTAGAGGCAAACTGTAGATTTGAGCAATTATACTTTAAACGTTTCATACGTAAAATTCGACGGCCAGATTTTGACATAACAACAATAAACGCAAATCAGATTAAACAAATAAACAAATAGCAACCAAAAACAACATCTGAATTACAAATTCTGGACTTGAGACAGGCACAACCCTCAAGCCTTCATGTACAATGTACCCGGGACTACATTAAGAACAAAGCACAGCGTATAAGTAAAATACGAAAAATGGTTATATGGAAGCTTTAAAAACTGTTATCGGATTATTTATGTTCTATCTACCTTAAAACCCTTAATTATATCTATATGTATTTATATTTTAACACTTGAAAGTATATGTTCATTTATCTAGTATATATGTCAATGAATATATTTATTAGGTAGATGTTCAATGAAGGTTACTTCACCCCTCAATCTGCCGGTAAAGGTTCACAGTTCGGTCCATAAACTAAGAGAGAATGACTAAAAAACAAATGTGTAAATGTCAGAATTTTATCATAAATCTTATCTTTTAATTCATATTTCGAAAATTATATTACCCTCTGACACATCACCCAGCCTTTACATATCCCAATCGAAACATTCCGCTCGTCAATCACTTTGACAGGGGTGTGAACCATACACAAACACTGCTCCAAAAAAGATATCGAAAAGAATATTGGAAAATGCACTTAATGCACCATCACGAATATTATTTAACCGATATGACATGTCTGTGTAATATTTCACTAGCGAAAAAAGTTTCTGAACCTTTACATACCAGAAAAATGCGTCCATATCATTCTCGACTTTTTTCATGTTCACCTTGATTTGTCTTCTTAATCGATTTATGAGATCTTGAAATTTGTAAACTACTGTTGCCTTAGTATGCCTAATATTTTACCATCTGAATGTGTTAGTATGCCTAATATCTTACCATCTGAATGTGTTTGTATGCCTAATATCTTACCCTCTGTTGCCTTAGTATGCCTTATGTTTACCCACTGTTGCCTTAAAATGCCTAATATCTTACCCTCTGTTGCCTTAGTATGCCTAATATCTTACCCTCTGTTGCCTTAATATGCCTTATATTTTACCATTTGTTGCCTTAGTATGCTTAATATCTTACCCTCTGTTGCCTTTGTATGCCTAATATCTTACCCTCTGTTACCTTAGTATGCCTTACATTTTACCCTCTAATGCCTTGGTATGCCTAATAGCTTACCCTCTGATGCCTTAGTATGCCTAATATCTTACCCACTGAATGTTTTAGTATGCCTAATATCTTACCCTCTGTTGCCTTAGTATGCCTTATATTTTATTCTCTGAATGAAACACATACTTGTGTTAATGTCATGGCTTGAGCCATTTCATAGTGTGATAAAAATTATTATCCTGATTTAGAGTAATTTCTCGTAATTTGATTGGCTGATATTGTCCTAATAAATTTCAGTGCAATTTTGTATTATGTCAATTGGAATTATATCCCTTATACCATTGACCTGATAAAAAAAAATCTTTTTTAGTTGCTTTATAGTCCTTATATTTTTCATTTTTCACAGTTTTAGATTAAATATCAAAATATATTTGGTTTATATTGTCTTAATAATTGAATTTGAACATAATGATATGTAATATAACAAAATCAGGATAAATTCGTTACACAGTGTGCAATTGTCCTGAAACGGATATGAGATATAGAAATTTGTAAACTACTGTTGCCCTAGTATGCCTAATGTCTTACCCTCTGAATGAAACACATACTGGTGTACCTAATATCTTACCCTCTGTTGCTTTAGTATGCCTAATATCTTACCCTCTGTTGCCTTAGTATGGCTTATATCTTACCCTCTGTTGCCTAAGTATGTAGGATTTTGTATGCATGTTTAATTCATTATCAATCCCTTTTTAAGTTTCGAGTCTATTTTTCTTCCTGAATTGGTGGTAGGTTTTGATACTTTTTCTAGACAATAACACATGAATAACAAATAAAAAGTCAAACTTGGTAAGTCCTTTATACTTTGACGTGAATAAATGTATTAATTGATACACTGATTTGCCTTGTCCAAGTGATAATAAAGATAAATATTAAGATAAACTAAAGGGTAAAGATAAAAATATTTATTATTATATCAAGAAATAATAGGATTTTGACCAAAAACATATAAAAATAACAAAAAAACAGAACTCAAAGAAAAATTCAAAACGGAAAGTATTAAATTCATATTGAAAGTAACAAAAGGAAAATAAAAGGTTTAGGTAACAAATGCTAATAAATCACACATTTAATTAGACAGAACAAGGACGTATGAAATATATGTCCTTGGACAGAATAACTTTCGTTCAAAATCATGCATTTATTAATTGTCGTTTTTCTTTTTTCTTTCCTCTGTATTTTTTTGTTTTTTCAGGATCATGGGGTGAGTGGGATTTTTAATCTTTTTTTTTATTATTTGATTGTTTTTATGATTGTTAACGATCTTATTGTCTATTATTATTAATAAAGATTTCTGTTGAGATTTGCTGTGTCTTATTAACAGATCATACCTTCAGTTCTTTTGTATTGCCTTTTGGTGACACTGATTATATCAGTCTGATAGGAAGGTGATTAGAAATCAGTAAAAATAATTATAACGGCAATCATCCTTATCACACTGACTCCAAATAGACGGTTGGCATGCACATTAAAACATAAGTTCCGACCGATCAGTGAAAAAAAAATACCAGAATTAAAATTGTGTACGTCAGTCACGCGTTTCGTCTATAAAGATAAATGAGTGACGTTTTAATAAAAAAAGTTAAAAAGCATAAATAAATTACAAAGTCTTATTTGTTCAACGCATACCGGACCAGATATGATGTTTTGTTGTCAATTTCTACGTATGACTAAGGCTGACATTGTATGGACAATGACTGGACATATGAATAATTACGTCATAGTAGCGAATTCCTTTTAAGAAGTCTCTAATAAAAAGCACTTTTCGTATCGTTTATAACGTGTCGTTATATGTATATATTTTTCTCATTAGTAAAATTTTCGGATCTTTACGTTTAATATAGTAAAGCCGCCGAAATTAATGGAAATTTTTTGCAGTTTTAAGAAATTGAATTATTACACAATTTTATACAAATAACCGTCAATTACCAAAAATATCTTGAAATCTTTCATTGGCCCTTTCAAGTTTTCAGATGTTTTAGTTATGCTATTCATTTTCTGATTTTATTGTTAATTGATGGTTCAAATTCCGCTCACCATAGCAAGAAATTAATATATAAAGAAACTTAGTAGGTTTTCTCACTAGTAAATGTAATATGAGGGTGTAAATGGGGTTCCTGGACCGTCTTTCAATTCTGTAGCTTTTTTTTATTTTTATAGCATTTTTTTCTCTATTCTTTATAATTTTTGCTCAATATTCTCCATGCATTCCTAATGTTCTATCACCCAATTCTTTTCCATTCTTTCTTGTTTGGACTATTTTACTCTATTCTTTAAATTGTTTACCCTTTATTCTGCACACAATGTCTAAAACTCTCTAATCTCCATCCAGACCCTCTAATATGTTCAAACTTTTAATAATTCTGTAGACACGCATTGGCAGACAAGGTCGTACAACAATCTGTAGTGGTAAATAACGCAAAACAAATTTCACATTTGGTCCAAAAACGAAAAGCGCAATTCGTATTGAAAATTTAAACCGTTAATGTATTTACACAAACCTAGCAAATATTATAAAAGTGTTGACTTATATGATGATACTAATTATATAAAAGGAAATATTCGGTAAATGTCAATGAGACAGCAAACAAAAAACAAAATAATAAAAAGACATTTAGAGGTATTTGGGCCAATGTGATCATTTGGAGGAATCATTTGGATTTCGCTTTTGAACTTTACAAGACTAAAAGTTTCAGTACTGAACACAATCGATGCAACAAAAAAGTGATCTAGAAACATGAGTAATTCATTGTCAAATGTTCAAGGACTGTCTAAAGAGAAGTACTTTGTATTGTAACTCTCGTATAGTGACCAAAGGTAAACTACGAAGTTTTGATGTGTTTCGTTTTAAAGGTACTTAGTATACATCATGTGACATACACTTAGAAGATATCATGTGACGTTTTTTCTCCCTTGTACTTATTTTTAGATTATGTTCAGGTAAGATTACGGATTCAATTAATATTGTATATACATTTTAGACATATTGCTTTTGAAAGAAAATTTTTCGTATAATCTTTTATCCTAATCTAGAGATATGACATCAATTCATTTCAAAATTTTTCTAATAATTGGTTTGTATAAAATCACAATCATGTATGGTCATGCAATGGCCATTGTAATAGAAATGACACAAAATGCAATTGATGATTTGATAATTGTTTTAAAATTACAGGTTTTAATTGAGAAGATAGTAACATGTATAATATTATTAGATTTTTGTTCATGAAACAAGTGAACTCTTACAATCTTAAATACTCGATCATGTCGATATAATATGTTATACGGGCAAGGTCAGACATGCTATTGATTATGTTATACTGAACTAATCAAGTATTGTTTCGATTATTTGTTTTTCAATGGTGACTGCACTATTGTATTGGCCTTACTCATGTAACTTTAAATTTTAAGCATTTACTTGTAAGTTTTCATGTTTACTTATCAATATTTATTTTCTTAAAACATCTATACGATAGACGAGGGTCTCGATGGGGTTTACAGAATAGAGAATAAAGGGTAAAAAGTGTAGAATAAAGGGCAAAAAAATAAAGAATAGAGATTAATAGGGTGTTGTAATAAAAAGGATAGAAAAAAAGAATAAAAAAAAATAGAGAAATTGAGAAAAGTGGTCTAAAATGTTGAAAAAATAAAGAAATGAAGGACCCCCATCCCGACCTTCATAGACTGACTGACGGAAAGTGTGGTCAACCTTTAATTATCTGCTAAATTTGGCTGCCAGCTTGAGTACAGTGCTTACGTTTCAGGTTCGATTTGAAGGTAAGTGGTCGACCATTTGGTATTCGGTGGTGTTAGGTTGTGTAAGGATTTTTGCAATGAGCATCATGAATATTATAGCCTGGTAAAATTTTGAAGAAGAACAAAATTACAGAAAGGTTGAAAATCAATATTTCGTCCAATAAAAAGTAGGATAATCTGGAGAATAGTTATGAACGTGAGTGAAAACAATTGTTCGCGCTGCAGAGCCTCGCGAAATAGATAATAAATACTAGCAACAATTAAAACAAGTGAACAAAAATGAATAATTTACAACGAAAAGTCCTGTCCCCACGTTCACCAATAAAATCAAATGATCGTACAATATGTTAATCTTCTGTGTGGTGGTCATCCTGTTTCAACCTATATAATGAAGGTTTAGTGTATATATGTTTGTCCGGACCTTGGTTGTCTCGTTTTTTGTTTGTTTAGTAGTTTAATTTTTCGCAAGAGTCGGGTGTCGGATGTTGTCTAATTATTCGAAGGAGTCGGGCGTTGGTGGTTAGTGTTGTCGTCTAATTTTTCGAAGGAGTCGGGTGTTGGTGGTAAGTGTTGTTCAATTTTTCGGAGGAGTCGGGTGTTGTTGGTAAGTGTTATCCAATATTTCGGAGGAGTCGGGTGTTAGAAGTTTCTGTTTTCACATATTTCAGAGAAGTCGGTTATTGGTGGTTACTGTTGTCCAATATTTTGGATGAGTCGGGTTTTGGTGGTAAGTGTTATCTAATATTTCGGAGGAGTCGGGTGCTAGTGGTTTCTGTTGTCACATATTTCAGAGGAGTCGGTTATTGGTGGTTACTGTTGTCCAATATTTCGGGTGAGTCGGGTTTTGGTGGTAAGTATTATCCAATATTTCAGAGGAGTCGGTAGTTGGTGGTTAGGGTTGTCCAATATTTCGGGTGAGTCGGGTTTTGGTGGTAAGTGTTATCCAATATTTCAGAGGAGTCGGTAGTTGGTGGTTAGGGTTGTCCAATATTTCGGGTGAGTCGGGTTTTGGTGGTAAATGTTGTCTTGTATTTCCATGAGTCGGGTGTTGGTGGTTTATGTGGTTGCATGATTCGGGTGTTGGTGGTAAGTGTTGTCAAATATTTCGAAGGAGTCAAATGTTGATGGTTAATGATGACTAACATTTCGGTTGAGCCGGGTATTGGTGGTTATTGCTGTAGGAGAAGTCTCGTGTTGATGGTTATCGTCCAATATACTGTCCAATATTGCCTGTAATTCCTGTTATCGTAGTTTGTACTATCAAATAATTGAATAATTTATCGAAACTTTGTAATCATAATACAAATAAACTCGTAAAGGAATGACAAATATTCATGGAAACTCTCAAACTAGTTATACAAGATAAAGTTAACAGATTACGGACGACAACGAACGACAGATGATGAAGGTCGCAAAGGTATGAGAAAAACCTAACATTTTCCCTGCAGGTAATTTTAGACATGATCATATCGTTAAAAACCATGCATAATGGTGTTTGACTTTTTGCCATTAGTTTGTTTAGCTATGTCGTTGTCTATTTTTTTCTTAATTTAATTACGGTATTTGATTGACCTCGGTATTGTCTTTTTTTTGTGCAGATCGATAAAACCATAAAAAAAGTATTTTTTTCTAGTAAGAATGTTTTGTGAAATTGATCGCATAAAAGCATTCTAAATAAAAGGTTCCGAATACAAATATATATATACATACATATTTCAGGTATCAGCATGGCTACTAGTACAACTCTTTGTGATCCATGTTCAGTACGACATATTACCAAACCATCAGCACACTGGTGCTCAGAATGTGAAGAGGCCATTTGTGATGAGTGCCAAGAACATCATAAAGTACTCAAAGCCACACGAAGGCATAAGCTCATGCCAATTGACAACTACAAATCTCTTCCGTCTTTCATTACTGATATACAGCAGTCATGTACCTATCACAATGAAAAGTATCAACAATACTGTGTTGCGCATGAGTTACCTATTTGTTTAAAATGCATTATAGAGCACCAGAAATGCAACGTCATTCCTATTGATGAGATCACCAATAACGCTAAAACATCCGGGCACTTCCAAGATTTAGAAACTAGACTGATGGACTTACTACAGAACATTGATATAATTAAGAAGGATCGAAAGGCTAATTTGGCCAGTATTGAAGAAACGAAAGGGCGACATCTTACAGAAATTCAAAAAATAAGAACTAAGATAAACGAACATTTAGACAAACTTGAAAAAGAAATAATACAAGATCTTGAGAAAAAAGAGTGCCAATGTACAACGAGTATTCAGAAGATTTTATCATCAGTTAAACAAAATGAAAACTTGATAACAGAATATCAGACCAATCTCCAAAGCATCAAACAACATGCTTCCGATCTTCAAACATTTCTAGTAATGAAAAATATTGAGATGAAAATATTTGAAAATGAAGAATATCTGCAGTCGTTGATAGAAACTAAACAAATCGAGCAAGTTGATCTGGTTGTCGAAGTTGACCCAGGGGTAAATAGCATCTTGAAGAGTTTAAAGAATGTTGGATCAATTGCAATAAAAACGACGTCAAGTAACATTCGTTTAAACAGAGAGAAAGACAAACAAGCACAGCTGCAAGTAACACCAAAGAAGAACATTAACGATTGGAATTTGATTCTACAGAAGAAAATAACAACAGGAGGAAAGAACATTAGAGGTTGTTGCATGTCAGTTAATAGCGAATATTTCTTCACTGATCATTACTTAAGAAAAACGCTTTCTGTCATTGCATCAGATGGTACATTCAAATTTAACATGTTTCTTGACCCTAGTTGTGGGTTTGACATAACTTTTATCGATGACACAACTATCGCTATCACATCTGGAGGATCCTTTAAGCAAATTGGAATTTACATAATAGATAACGAGAGCCGAAAGAAAATTAAGTTCATCAGCCTTCCTCGTCGTTCCTGGGGAATCACACGTGATCACAACTCGCTGTTTGTCTGTGTTGAAGGACAGGGTATATATAAAGTGAACACTGTGGATTATGCTACTTCTCACGTGATCAGGAGTAACTTATCGGGATGTTCCTGTGTATCTGTTTTCAACGGCAAGATATACTATACTGACAAAGATGGTAACAGTGTAGTTTGTTGTGACCGCGATGGGTCATGTGTTTGGACTTTTAGAGATACTTTAGTTTTGAAGACCCCGAGGGGCATTACTGTGGATAATGATGGAAACGTGTTTGTTGTCGGAGAGACGTCGTCGAATGTGGTCATTATATCAAACGATGGAAAACATCACAGGCAAATTCTAACAAATAAAGATGGTCTACGTGCACCGTCAGCTATTTTCTTTGATAAACAAACCAGGACACTTCTTGTTGCGAACAATAAAGAAACTGCTTTCCTTTACAATGTTACTTAAAATAATTGAAATTAATAAATTTATATTATAATTTCCTTGCTTATTTGCTTTGAGGCATAAAATCTTTCAACAAGTAAAAACTGATTTTAAACAATGTTTAAAATTCATGGATCGAGGAAGTCAATCATGTTTGCAAATATCTTAATCTTTATTATAGTACATAATGTTTTTAAAGTAACTAATTTTTAAAGAAATTAAAGTAATGTTAGATGTCAAACTGCATTGTATGAATATACGTTTTCATTTCAATCGAGGTAAACAGGTTATAGAAAAATCATAAAAAATGTCGACACTGATATTAATAGATCATTTTTAATCTTGTTAAAGTAGATAGAAAGTGCTCGAAATGTATTAATTCTACAACAGATACAGTTAAGTCTGCCTCATATCTTGACTTAGTCTAGAAATGGACAATGAGATTCGGTTAAAAACAAAACTTTACAACAAAAGAGATGATTTCAGCTTTTCAATTGTGAACTTTCCATTTCTATGTAGCAACATTCGAGCAGCGCTTGCATACGGAGTATATGTCTCCCGAATGACACGATATTCACGGGCTTGTATTTTCTATCATGATTTCCTGGATAGAGGGTTGCTTCTCAGAAGGATGCTATTAAACCAAGAGTTCCAAATGGTGAAGTTGGAATAATTCCTTCGTAAATCTTAAGGACGCCATCACGAGTTGGTTGACCGTTATGGCATATCCGTTTCACAGATGATAGTTGATATGTTCCTAATGTCGTAACTACAATTCCGTCCTCTTTTCACGAATGTAACCTATCGAATTAGACTTGTTACCAAGCTTGTACTAACATGAGCAACCCTTTCGCAGCATCTGCGATCACCCCGAGTTTTGGTGGGGATTGTGTTGCTTGGTCTATAGTTTTCTATGTTGTGTTTTGTGTACTATTGTTTGTGTTTTTCTTTTTCCATGGCGTTGTCAGTTTATTTTCGACTTATGAGTTTGAATGTCCCTCTGGTATCTTTAAATCCTCTGTCGAGACAGTCGTTTATTTTTTTATTTTATTTCTCAATAATCGTATTCAAATATATTACATATATTTAAGGTTTATCATATGATTAAGAATCAAAGGAAATAGATAGTACTCTTATTTAGTCATTGCTCCTGTAAAATGCAACAAGTTTGGATCTTCCATAATATATTGACTAATGTTTAAAAGCAGTTCTCCCAAGTAGAGCACAAACTTCTACTTAAACGTGTGCTAGAGGACTCATATAACTTGCAGGAATCTGTTAGCTGTAAGATCATGTTAAAATTCTCATTGATGTTTAATATGTGACAACGCCAAATCATGCAAAGGTTAATAATGATTGATTGATTAATTGATTGATTGATTGGTGTTTCACGCCACTTTCAACATTTGTGTGCTACTTTATGACGGTCAGTTTTTATAGGTGGAGGAAGCCAGAGAGCCCAGCGAGAACCACCGACCTTCGGTAGGAAAACTGACAATCCTAGTCAATTAAGATTGGAGTCGAGTGCACCTGCCCCGTGCTACCTCGGTGTTAACTGGCTAGTGATACAGTAGTTCGGCTTCTTATACCACTCGGTCAACGAGTCCCCGAAAAGGTTAATGTTATCTTTAATTGTTTAACGTTTTTACTATACTTAAGTCCTTTTTGGTTTGATCCGCTCTTCAACATTTGTATTAAATTTTGGATATTCAAATATTTGGGCCTCGTGCATCATCGAAAAGACATTAATTGTCAAAATGCGCATCGGGTACATTAAAAATGGTTCCGTTTATGATATTTTAATGACATTACTTTTAATCTCAACAGCATTATACGAGTGTATTTTTCTCACAATATCATGACACTATTTGTTCTTTTTAATCCAAAAGAAAATAAGGAGATGTGGTATTATTGCAAATAGGACATATAACTATTAAAGAGGGTCTGGATGAGATTACAGAATAGAGAATAATGGGCAAAAAGTGCAGAATAAAGGCAAAGAAAAAGAACTGAGAATAATTGGTGGTAAGATATAAAGAAAAGAGTAATATGGCTTACAAAAATAAACAATACAGAATTGAAGGACACCCATTGAGATCCTCATTAGAGACAAATTAAAGCAATTATATGTGAAACAATTCATACGCAAAAACCAACGGCCAGATTTATGACAAAACAATATACGAAAAGCAGATTTAAAAAATATCAACTAACGAAAACAGCTGAATTACAAACTCCTGACTTGAGACAAGCACAACCCTCACACCGGGACTACAAGAAGAACAAAACTCAATGTATGAGTAAAATACGAAAAATAAAAATAAAAATCTAATCATAAATGGTTATGAAGAACTTTAATAAAATAGAGGATGAAATGGGGAATGTGTCAAAGAGACAACAACCCGACCAAACAGCAGAAAACAGCCGACGGTTAATAACTGTTTTCTGGGATTCTTAATGATATAACTACGGTAACCCTAAATTTTATCTATATGTATTTATATTTTAACACTAAAAAACGCAAGTCCATTGATCATCGATACCAGAAAAGTCACTCATACTATTCCTCCATTTTTTTCTTTTTTCTTTTATTTTACCTTGATTTTTCTTCTTAATCGATTTATGAGATTTTAAGATTGGTAAACAGATGTTGCCTTAATATGAGGGTCTCGATTGAGGGAATTTTGTTTTATGTTTTATTTAATTTTTATAGCCATTTTTCTCTATTCTTTATAAATTTTGTCCATTATTCTCTATTCGTTATATTATAGGACCCCATTATTTTCTATTCTTTTTTTATTTTTACCGATTTTTCTCTTTTTTTTTATATTTTCTGCATGCCTTTTATTCTACATTTTTTGTTCATTATTCTTTATTTCAAATCCTCTAATATTTTACATTATGAATGAAAAAAATACTTGTGTAAAAGTTATAGTCGGAGCAACTCTAAAGTCTGATAAACATAAGGTCCGAAGACACATCTATCGTCCTTTGATTTGTCGTTGTCTTCAAATTTAAATTAATATATATAGTCCCTAGTGTACACAGTGTATAACTTGCAATCATATCTGTATCGTATGCACGACGAGCTTTAAGCGTGTTTATGGCGTACGAGAAGCGTACATAAGCGTTTATCGGGCGTTCAAGTAACGTATGTTGGTGTATGTCTGGCGTTTGTCTAACGTAGATGAAATGCACGCTTCGAAGGAAAAACGTCCCTTGAACGTATTTGAGATGAGTTTTGTTTGTATCTTTTGTCATACTTTTAAAAGTAAACCAATAAACGAATGTTTTTAAATACTTTAGTTGAGCTGTTTATTCCATCGAAAGTTTTACGGACGTCAAAATGAACTCTAAGATCCGGCGAACATGATACAGGACTGGGCATTGACGTCCAGAATTGTAACAACAAAATTCACAAAAACGAAAAACCGCACAGAAACCATTTTCTCTAAAAGCAAAATGAAATATAAAATTATGACTTCAAAACGTATTATTAGTAGAAATTATTGTAGCATAGCAACTCACAAATCAATTGCTTTTGAAATATTATATATCATTATACAATAATTAAAGAAAAATATAGATTACCTGCAATATTGATTGTTCTTCGAGCAACTCGACAAATGCTACAACATGTACAAGGTATTATTACGTGAGAGTTTGTTTGTATATGGTATTACAAGGTTCAACCGACAAACTTCCATCCGTAAATAGTTAAATTTCGCAGTTATATTTAACAAAAATGAAAAAAGAATGCCGAAAAACTAATAATTCGGTTAAATAAGACAACATCGCTATTACATGGTCTAATTGTTTACAAAAAAACTGATTTTATGGTTATATGGTTTTATAAAATACGTATGTGTAATTTACATTATCATATCTATATTCCAAATACTGTATTCATGCTTAGTTGTAAAGTTGATTGTTTTTTTGTTTTTTTCGAAGGCGGGGAAATCAATCTTTTTTAATTCGATTTTCTGTTGGGAGCAGTTACGTTGTTCACCGAAGACTTTTTATTTCAATTTAGTGTACAAATAACAGGTGCACACATCTATTTTAGCTTTTTTTGCACTTGACCAAATAAAGTATCCAGTTTCCCCGCTTCCGTATTGAGCAAACGGTAATGGGAACATTTCTTTCTGTGTGACAGCTCATTTTGGATTTCCTCTTCGCGGTCCACGTTTAAACCACGTCAATTTATTTGAAATCAAAGACATATACAATATAAGGTCAATGTCAGAAAAATATAAACTTTTTTGTACGAGACTTAGAAACTGTGGAAGGGCGAGGTTCGTGCGAATACAAAAAAAAAGATGAGATAATTTCCTGACATTGACCTAATATTGTGTTTATACTGCAGCTACAAAAAATATACAAAAAAACGTATTTACCATCGCGAAACGAATCTTAAATTGTGAAGAAAAGTGACATGATATGAAATCGATATTGCACGAAATATCACTTTGTTACCATGTTTGGTCGATAAAGACAACAGAAAGTGCTCTCTCTAGCTGCAGTATATAACTATTTGGATTTAACCAACTAAACCTTAAAGTGTCGGGTGTAAATTACAAGATAAAAACAATAGATATATACATTGTCGGAAATATAAAATTTATTTGAACTCACTACGAAACAGTAGAAAACCTCGGTGAGCCTAGCTTTTCATCCTGTTTCTAAAGCTCGTACACATAAATGTACCATGGCGAAATTATAGTTTATGTGTTACAATGTGCACTTGAAGTAATAGTAAAAGACACCACAAATAAAGCCAGGTCTGCTACGACGAGGGTCGGACTAGAACTTTAGTTCGCTACAACAAAGACTACATGATGTTTCTGTTGACAACTTTCATTTTTTAATGTAGCAACATTTCACCCGCACCTGAATATGGAGTATATTTTCGCAGTTGATACCACATTCCACAACTATCAGGACTTCTTGCTAGAGGATTGTTGCTTACAAGAAAACTGCTTATTCAGGGATTCGTTATAGATAAGTTGGTTGATTGATTGGTGATAGCTTAACGTTCAGTGCCAATTATTTCATTATG